GAATGCAACATCTTAATTAGTATAAAACAGTAGGTGAGATTTATTTATTACTAACAAATATTCTAGGCAAGAATCTTGGGTTTAGGTAACAAGGCTATTACTGCCTAATGCTAGTTGTTCAGTGTTTATTAAATAGTCAGAGAAACTTGACTTCTGATGGACAGAATACGCAGATAGTAGAGCATTAATTAGAATCCTATTTTGAAAAGTATTCAGATTAGAAATTCTAACATAGGAAATTATTTGTACACATAAATTTAGATATAATTTTATGTAAGAATGGTAACACAGGGTCAGAACCCATAGCCTGATATCCTGGCTCTGACTATGACCAAAGTGGTGTATGCCGGGGGGAAGGCTACAACAGTCATAAGAACAATAAAACTAGGAGGTAACAATAATGTTGATGATAAAAATAAAATAAACAAAGTCTTTCTATTATTAAAACATTTAAGAGTGTAAACTTTCCAAATTAGTGGTACTGTTAGCAAGCAAATGTTTAAATGCAGGTAATGAATGGCTTCCATATGGCACAAGCCATCTGACCTCCCTGCGTCACCTGGCTGTGGTGAAAATACCTCCTCAGCTCCAATGCCAGGAATGACAGAATGCCCTGGACCTTTTCAGTCTGGAAGAGGGGTGCTAGAGGGGGATGTGAGCGGGGTCTACACCAGTGCAAAAGGCACAGGGGTTTGACAGCTCCATGACTCTTCCAAAGCAGGAAGGCAGGTGGCAGTGAACTTGATGGGGGCAGATGCGGAATAAAGAAAAGGTGGTGGTGCTCCATGTGGCACAGAGTTCAGCTGGGGATCTCCTTGACATCTCCTGGCCATCTTCAAGGCCAGGCTGGACGAGGCTTGGAGCAACCTGGTCTCGTGGAAGGTGTCCCTGCCCATGGTAGGGGGGTTGGAACTAGATGGGCTTGAAGGTCCCTTCCAACCCAAACCATTCTGTGATTCTATGGAGATTTAGGAGAAGCACAAACCTCAGGAAATCCCTCAACAAGGACAAAGCTGTGACAGGAAGGCCTGCCAATCATCCTGTGTTAACTCCACCACAGCATGATGAAGCGTGGATAAATGCCACCTTTGAAAGGAGTGGCTGTGTCAGAAGCAGGGCTGTACCTCTCAGAGGACATGTGTACACAAGGAATGGAGAAGGCACAAGAAACCTGTGAGGACTGCCAGAACTGCCACTCCTTCTCTCCCCACAGGCTGCACAAGCCTTGAAATAGCCTCATCACACCTGGGTCGTTCACTTCAAAGATGTTGGACACACTCAAGACATGCTACGTACCTGGAGGGGGGGTATTATAAAGCCCTACTATGTCCAAGCTAGTAACGGGAGACTAGTAATTGGACTACTAGCCATATCTATTTAAGCAGCTATCCAAAAGGAAAGAAACGCCATCAGCCATGAAAATTGTTATCTGATTTTTAATTTAGTAGCCAAAGCAGCAAGCATATCCACATTGTGTCAGATTGCCTCCACACCCCAGCGTACCACAGACGTGGGAGGAATGTGATGTGAGGAAAACAAGACCTAAGCGAGGCACACTCATTTCTAAACGACCCTTTCATCAGGTCCCCTAGACATCACAACTTCTCACGTCTTTCTTTTACTTAGCAGCAGTCGAATCCACTCTTGAAAAAGAATAAACTGGAAGTGTGAGCTGCTTTGTTGAACTGGGGCCAAAATATTCAACAGCATCAAGCAGAACTGTATTTCAGCATCTTGCACAGCACCAGGTGCATTAGTACTGCTTGGTAAAGAAAGATGAACAACAACAATTACAGGTTATTTGTGTTCCAGAGGAGAAAAGTGTTTTGGGCTGTTCTAATCCGCTCTGAGACATGAGATTAAAGCAGCAAAGCTCTATTCATTAGTCTGTTGGTTTCGTGCCTCCACGTGAGGACAGTGCCAGGGACACCGGTGGTGGTCCTCTGGGAAGTCCTGCACTGCTGGAGGGATCTGCAGGCTCAATGCTGCCCATCAAGAGCTCTGGGAGTACAGGGGATGCTGTAAGCACAATCAGGGATAAGCCCAAGTTTCCTGTGATTTTCATGCAATTTATTTGCAATAACTGGTTCTCTTACAGAAGGATATAAACCCTATTACATTGCACTGTTTGTGTATGCCTGTACATACTCACAGATCTCGCATACCATAAGGATGCTTTAGTGATGGGGTTTTGTGAAGGGAGAAGTGCAGATCATTCACAAGAAGGTGGCCAGGGGATAGCTTAGGTCATTCCCAGATCACTGACTGTGGATGAGGGAGGGACATAAATCACTCACTGAAGGGAGATCAGTGTTTCCTTGAGAGACAAGCGAAGGATTTCAGTTCTCAGGAGCACACCCTGCCTTCATTATGCCGTTCCATTTTTACGTCAATCTTTCGTATGAAGGATGTAAAGATTCTGGAAATGTGACTTACACTCATTTAAATCTATGTTCCAGTGTCAGCACTGAATGGAGAAACCAAACCAGTTCCATTTCTGCTTCCCTGGCTGGCCTGACAGGCGAAGCTTGGGTGGATAGAGCATTTAACGCAGGGGACCCACATCTTGCACAGATGACACTGACCCTTACCACCGGGGTCAAGGGTCACGCTGCCGGAATGGTAACTCCCATGAAGTCAGCGTACAATGATGCAACAGACCCGCAATCTCCCTTCAGCAGG